TTAAATCAATAAGTACACAAACTTTCACCTCCTGAGAAACGATCCGGTGTTATTATGAAAGACGTGATTAATTTGTTTCAGTATGTAAAGTGAATTCAGCGCGTGCGCACGTCGCGGAAGGGTTGTATATCGATCAAATGAGGCTAATATAAAAACGGGCTCGACATGAGTTTCTTGCCAAGTAAAACAAAATAACACTGCATCTTCAGGATACTCTTTAAAACATAAAAGCAGCGATAGCCTAGTAAAGAAGAACGCTTGTCTCCTTACGCTGAAGATCTAAGGTTCGATTCCCACCCGTAAATGTATATCGATTTTTCAAGAGCATTAGTTTAGTAAATAATTATCACTTGCATTGAATTGATAACTGTTGAGTCGAAACTTGCATATTGAAGACGGGTCTCATAATTGCAAAAACGTCTCAAGTACCCAACTTACATTGGGCCAGCGTACCGAATTTTTGCTTTAGACCCTCTTCATTCATATCTACATAGAGTGACGATGGTTGCGATATTTCACCGCAACAGCAGGAATCATTTACACGACGAACATACACAAAGGAAATAAAGAACAAAGAGGCAGTAAAACAAAATTTTCTGGAGAACATAAGTTTCAAGCAATTCCCTTCGTACATTGTACTGTTTCCACACTGCGATGGACCTCACGAGAGCGGTTCTCGTAGTTTCAGTTCTTTTAAGCTGGTTCAGTGTAATGTTCGTTGAAGCGGCTCCAGCACGTTGTAACTATGTATTCAACAACGAAACACTGAAAGCCATACAACAGAAACCGAAGAAACCAAAAGTAATCGAAACTCAACTAAAATTCAGACTTGGAAACAGTGCAAAAGATAAGTACGAAGGATTTAATCCTTCTGGATCTAGTCTTTATATTCGTTTTGTTTAAGTAATAATCAATTTATTCAATGTGTTAAAATTATACTATGTAGTTCATATAGTGTTTTCGCAATACATGTGTAATTGCAGTACTCGTAAGATTGCAATACTTGTGTTATGACACAAGTATTGTAAGATTCACAAGACAAGTATTGTAAATACAAGCACTACTTGTATTTTTGCAATTGTTGTGTAAAGTGACAATTGTTATTGGTTACTACTATCCAGTTTGTTCAGTAGGGTCATTATGCTTGTACATACATTAGAGTATAAAAAGTTGTTAGTTTAATCGATTTGATTTTGAACACCTCAGCTAGCAATACAGGTAATAATGGTTGAAATCAATGTTTAATTATATGTTTATGATATTAATTGAGTTTATTAATTGTAATTTCAAATTAGCTACAAGTTTCACTTCAACTGAATTTCCTATATTATTTAACTTTATCAAAATTCAAGGGCTAGTTAACTTATTAAGTATTCTAATTCCACTACATGTTTTACGTTACATAGTACGTAATCTAACAATGTGATCAGGCTACACACAACGATAATGCCCATTATAATTAGTACGTACTCTGGAAAGATTCCATTGACTTAGACTTTGTAAAGAAAGCGTTGCGGTAAAAGTCTGTGATTTGGGGACAACACACACAAATGGCGTCTTTAGCAGCGCCATAATTGAATAATCGACAATATTTGAGGCGCATTCTACAAAAGTTCCATTTCCCTTGGATTTTCTGAAAAAAACGTTCGCGATAATAATCTACCACAACTTCATATCGGTAAAGCGACTTCAATCACTACCTCTATAACTGCCTTCAATAATCTTCAATAACTGCCTCTGTGGCCGAACGGTCACCATTGACTGCCGGACTGCCACGCAGAGGTCCCAGGTTCGATTCCCGGGCCGAGAGAAATATTTGTATAGCCTACATTTATTTCTCTCGTGAGTTTGGGTGTAATTTGTGGTTGTTTATATGTGTGTCCATGGCACCCGCGACACAGGGTTTCCCTAGTGCGGGGCTATGTTGATTGTGAGCGTTATTAAAAAAAAACGATGTATTCATAATTAAGTACTAAGTGACGGGACGAACAAGTCGTGTACCTGGTCGTAAGCGACACACCTGTTCAAACAATAACAGTGCCACTCAGAGCTTCCACTTGCAAAGATTTGAGGGACACTGCCACTGCGATTGTCACTCTGAGACATATGTATGTTGACAAGTCCCTTGTGCGTGTAATTTCACCAGCACCCTTACCCTGCCCTTCAAAACCGGAACACAGTAATGCCCACATTACCGCTTGGCAGCAGAAATAGGGCAGGTGGCAATACTTCCCTGGACGGACTCTTTCACAGGGAGCTCTAATGCTACTACGTAAACACTCTAGTACAATTGCATTTTTCTTCTTCTTATCGTGTCGTTGCTTCTTTTATTTTAGGATAATATTGACTGGGAATAGTACGTCGCTACCTCGACTGCGCTATTTCTCAAAGTCACTAATATGTTTATTTTTATTGAATATCATCATGACGTTTTTATTACCGTGATAATCACTCATTTTTTGTGAAAATACTGCACATAGAAAAAATCGTGAGGTACGCTGGTTCGTTCGGTGACTTAGTTAGCATAGCGTCTGGCACGGTTTACTAGAAGACGTCGGGTCGAATCTTCCCGGATCGAAAAAATTTTTTCAGAGTGTTCGATCGTTATATTAATAATTATAACAAACTAGTGGAGTAATTTTTACGTAAAAAAATAAAAATGTAAATACTACACTAGTTATGTTATTATTATTTATACAAAGTTCGAACAGAGACAAAGAAAAATTCTTTCAAATACGACTAGACTCGAACCAGTGTCTGTTGCCTTAAAGTGGCAACCGGTTTTGCCAACTGACCATAACATGAGATTAGGACAAATTGATTGAATTTAATAATTTATTATTATTTAATATTTTATGCGCATTAATAATGTTTCAAGTATGACCAAAGTTTAATGTTTATTGCCCTTATAAAATAAAATATTACATCAGCTCATAGTCGTGTTAAAAAGCTATTGTTAACTTAAGTAATTGAATTATGTAGAAAGACTGTAAGAAATAAATGGCTATTATTAAACAATAAACTTATTACTGCTGTGGTCCGCTATAAAACAGGACATTGTTACAACACTTAGAGCTGTTTATTGTACCGATTACAATGGCTACTGGTTCAAGTTCCACTTGTTGCTTTCAATAGCAAACTCACAGTTCCATCTAAAACTGAGGATATAATTTAGTAGCAGTAGAACTCCTTGTGAAAGAGTTCGTCCAAGTTAGTACTGCCACCTTACCTGTTTCTGCTACCTAGCAGTAATGTCAGCGTTATTGTGTTCCGGTCTTGAAGGGTAAGGGTGCTGGTGAATTTACAGGTACATGGGACTTGTCAACTTATGTCTCAGGGTAACGGGCGCAGTGGCGGTGCCCGTCAGATCTTTGCGATTTAAAGCTCTGAGTAACACTGCTACTGTTATGGACAGGCGTGTACCTTACTATCAGGCGCATGACTTGTTCGTCCCGTCTCTTGGTATTATAAAAAATATATAAGATTGGAACTAGATGTTTTTATAACAAACATTATAGCGATATCAAATTTATCTTTAACGACCACAGAATCAGGACACTCGAAAATGCAGCACGACTTTAATGAGCGCCATGGGATAACAAACTCAGGGTCGTATTTCAGAACTCTACTCAATGCTCAAGTCAGGATTTGAGCAGACTTGAGTATGATTTCAAGCGCTGGAAATACGACCCTAATGGCAAGGACTTGAGTATGATTTTCAGTGCTCACTGCTCTACTCAATACTCAAGTCAGGACTTGACTATTGAGTAGAGTTCTGGAATACGACCCTCAGACTTTATCCCAAGGCCAGTTTATACCAACTCCAACAATTGAACCTAAAGCACTCGCTTTTGGAGAAGTGTAAATTAAATTTACCTGTGGTGACTTATACCATCTCTGTATCAATCTATATAACGACTAAGTTTATAACTTTTATCATACCATAATCCATCACATTGGTCTGATATTGATTGACGATTCTTTAAAAGATATGTAAACTACCTGCGACATGTTTTCTGACAATATTTCTATCGTTTTGTACAGAGTCAGCAGTATAACTCTCCTGAAAAATGTACAAAAATTTTTTTGTCTATTATTCAAAATTTTAACTCAAAATACTGGAGAAAATGGGCCCCAACAAAATTATCCCAAACAAAAATATTTTTACTGCAGGCTTGAAAAGGGTAGTGAAAGCGGAAAAAAAATTATGATTTTTTTCTTTAAACGACTTTATAAAAAGGGGAGAGAGAACCTCCTCCTTTTTTTGAAGAAGTAGAGAAAATAATATTTTAAGGATAGATATAGATAGAAACTATTCTATAGTCAACCGTGACCATGAGACCTGTAAAAGGCCCGAAACGTTTTGGTTTGTTTGAAAAAACAAATATACGCGATTTAAATCCGGAAAAATAGTTTAATTTTTTATGTGTAACAATCGCGAAAACCTAAGAACTCGATATTCTATACTGTTATTGCTAGATTTACGGTACTAATTTAAAGAGCTGTAGTTGGGGGCATAAGGAGAGCTAGATTTCGGTGCACATACATATCTCGGTCAGAGATGTTTTTAAAAAAGGCCGGATTAAAAGTACCAAGGATAAACTAAAACTTACTTAAACAAATATTTAAAATACATAATTTTCTCATTTGATTATATTAATATTATAAATTAAGATTCGTGAGTTGGTACACTGATATTTCATTTCAACAAAGATCAGACACTTACAAAGAAAAATACCTTTGATCTTTTATTAATATTTATAATAAACAAGTGGAATAATTTTATAAAAAATAAATTAATTCCATGGAAGGAAAATATCAAGACATAAAATTGATATTTCATTTCTTTGTTAAAAAATGCTTACTTAGTAGAAAACAAGTTTAGGTTATTTTAAATTAGTATTTAATATTCCAAGAAAATGTATAAATAAAGGATTATCACATGTATAAGTAATTAATAGGTATAATACCAACCACAGTCAATGCGTACATACACCTCCACTTGCCATGCATCGATCCGGTGTTCTCTTATAAGACGTGATTAATTATTTCAGTATGAAAAGTAAACTCAGCATGTGCGCACGAACTGTGAGAGTTGATTATCGATCAAATTAGGCTAATAAAAAAACAGGGTGACGCCCGACTTACTTATCACCGCTACACTACCGTAAGTTTCTTACAACACAAAACTAAATAACTTGTACTCCCATTACTACTGTTGTACAGTTCTGTTGACAGAACTACTGGTACTTTTCTTTTCATTTGTTCTGTTAATATTTACAGATTTACGATTCTCAGTAGCTCTGTCGAACTGATACCTACATATATTAGCAAACTTGGAAGACTCCATAGAGTTTTCAAGTAGCCTGAAACAAAAGACCCATAGAGTTTCAAGCAGGTACATGTCCACTTCATATCGATAACTTTAAGACTTGCAACGAAACAAAAAATAACCTAGTTAAGTGAAAGCTGACCTATATAGAATGTCCTAGGTGTCAGTCAGAAAATGTATTTTAGTTGACTAATCATCATATTATTAATAATTATAAGTAAAATTTTTTTTTAAACTTTGGTGTTTTAAAATTGTGTTGAAACTTGCATATTGCAGAAGGTCCACTTACATTGGGCCAGTATGCTGAGTTTTGCTCTAAACCCACTTCGTTTGTATATAGGTTGACAATGATAACCGCAGAAATCATTTACAGGACAAACAAGCACAAAAGAAGTTAGTGCATAGTGGCGGTCTTAATATAAGCAGCACTTTCTGGAGGACGTCCATTTCAAACATTCTCATTATTCGAATATTTTACTGCTCCCAGACCACGATGTACTTCTTACGAATAATCCTCCTAGCCATATTCTTCACTACAATGTTCGTTAAAGCGGCTCCAAAACATTGTGACTGTGTATTTCACGATGATATAGAAGAAACTACACACCACGAACATGGTTCTCTAAAATTCAAAATTGGAAATAATATAAGAATTAAGTATGAAAGGAGAAAAGTAAAAAAAACACGTAGTAATCTACAACAACAACAATAAACAAAATAAATTTAGTCAATGACTGATGTGATTTCAAGTTTGAAATACTTGTATTTTGAAAGGCTTACGTTTTTGCAATATTTGTGTTTTTGTAATACTTGTATTTTTGCAATACTTTAGTTTTTGCAATAATTGTGTAAATGAACAACTCAATTGATTCAGTAGCACCATTATGATTATGTAGGGTTATCTGTAAAATACTAACAGCCTCGCAGAGCTATTTACTAACATCATAAATAACGACTTATAAATAATTAGTTTTTAGTATTTTACAAAAATAATCTTATATATGTATATAAAATAGAGCATTTGATTTAAGAATTAAACTGTCTCGCGAGAAGCTGCGTTGACGGCCTACCACGGCTACGCTTCGTCCGTGCTCAGCTACGGTCTTGTACTATGGGGCAATTCAGCAGCTTGATTTTGATTGCCTCTCACGATAGGAAACTGCGTCTCTTCCGAGTCGAGGCGCATAATTGTATTGTTAAAAGAAAACTTTTAACATTTCAAATCGGAACAATAGTTGACTTAAGTCACAAAGTAGAAAGATATAGTAGGAATCAGGTTCATCTTCTCGCTCTGATTTCGGGACTCGGATGGGCTACCCGATCGGATCGATTCTGGTTTGAATTAAAATCAGCCTGCAGTAGTCTTAGAAAAAGCGTTTAAAGTCCAGAAGAAGTGTGTTCGAGCAATTTGCGGTGCGTGATTCGATGACATTTGCAAACCGCTGTTCAAAAAGCCATACATATCCCTATTAGGGATATCTGCGTATTTGTGAACTCTCATCCTCAATATTTTAAAACACGTGGTGAAACCATTCAAAAGCAAACTAGAGCCAAAATTATGAATCTTTTACACCAACCTCGTTGCCATAAAGTAATTTATAAGAATAACTGCTTCAATATGTGTATAATTATTTACAATAAATTACCAAAAGAAATTAAATTGTCATAAAGACATACTTTTAAATTACACTTGACAAAATGGCTTTAGACAAATTGCTTCTATAGTAATAAAGAATACTTAGAATTCACAAATTCATTACATTAATTGGAAACTAGAGACTAAACATTAAATCCCTTTATATTTGCACATCTGCTTGCAGGTTGAATACAATGTATCTAATTTTACTTAAGACCTATGTAATTACTATATTCTAGCAAATAAACGTATTCTATTCTATTCTAAGAAAATTATTAGTTACATCGAATCACATTAAATATATTGAAAGTGAATATCTGGAGTTCGTTTTCAATACCTTCAATAATGGTTAAAGTCAAGGTGGAGGGATCCTCTGTTCGTTTTTGGTAACACAAACTTTAGTACGTGCCTTTTATGGCGTCAATAAGGTTTTAACGTCACAAACTGTTTATTTACAAACGAATATACTGATATACTGATACAGAACTGTCTGTTCTCACATTGGACTATCAATTTGTATGTATTTTTAATGGTAAAGGAAAGCATTTCAATTTCGAAACTTGTCAAATGCTTCTATTCAACAACGCCAGCATGGGATTATTACAATGGGTTAACATATCTTGGACAAACAAAAACATCTGAAGTCAGGCAATTAAATTTTGATCAATATTTTTTTAAATTGTTCAATATTTAAAAAAAGCCGTGGTAGCCTAATGGAGTTTCTCGGAATTCATGTATGAAATTTTATTTTAAATTTACCTTCAGCTTTTCGGTGAAGTAAACATCGTGATGAAATCTGCACGTCCAAGAAGGTTCACAACCCTCGGAAAACGTGGGAAGTCCCCAACCCGCGGGTCTAAATCCTCGCCTGAACAGAGACCCGTGTCCGAATGTGCGACGTGTAAATAACGGCCTTCGTGGTCGAGTAGCTTACACACCGGTTTTCATGTTATCGCCATTTGAGATCCCCGTCTGGATCAGTGTAGAAACTTGTCTATTACCTTATGTACTTATTACTTTTATATTATCTGGGTATTTGTGGTACCGTCGTTGTTTCCGATTTCCATTACACAAGTGCTTTAGCTACTTACTTTGGGATCAGAACAACGTATGTTATGTTGTCTAGTATTTATTTATGTTTATTATATTAAATGGGTTAACAATGAATATTTTGCGCCTTAATAATGCTTAGAATACGACAAACATGTAATTTTTATTGTCCTTAAAGAATCAAACAAACGTTACATCGGTTTCTAGCTATCTCAATCAACCATTGTTGAATAGTTGAGTTATGTGTAGAATTACTATAACCATATCGGTGTGGTCTATTATACACCTAAATAAATACGTATAAATAAATAATAAAAGAACTAAACATTATTGTTGTGGCCCGCTATATAAAATTACTTATAGCACCTAGCACCATTCACTGCACCGTATTCATTTTGTCCGCAATACAATTTGTCAATAAACACCAGTTATTCCAGTGTTCGCTGATTCCGCGATGTTCGTGTTCTTTGCTGTTCTATTCGTTATAGTTCCGTCTGAAACTTTGGATATAACGCCGTTATTTAAAGAATATGAGCCGCCTAATACATCTACATCGACATCAAATAGTATAATAATATCTTTAACGATCGCAGAAGACCAGGAGACTGAAGAATTAAGCTCGACTACTGGAAAACAAAATCAGGCTTTGTCCCAGGAAGAACTTGTACCACCGATAACATATACACCTGACACAATCGTTTCTCGGAAGACTACAAAAGTTAATTCACCGGTGGTGACACGGGGTACTTGGTTGACACTCAAACCTTATTCACGTCTGCTTACACACAGCATCGGAGTAACAAAAAAAATAAAAATACTTTAAATTTGTTTATTCATAATAACGGAGAATTGGAAACTAGTATGCCGTTTACGCCAACCCTGATTAACAGTGAAGCCAATACCAGTTTTGATATAGTGTTATGAGCTGTGATCAGGAAGTTTAAGTTTTGAAAGAATATATGACGCTTTAGCTGGAAAAAAAAAATATACTATATATATATATATATATATATATATACTATTACTGAACACCTGAACCATCACTGGATATATTCATATCATATATTACAAAAATTATAAATTGACGAATTCGGAAACTTAAAATTATACAAAGCGAAATTTTCAACGACCTCTGTTGTGGAGTGGCTTGCATGCAGTTTTTCATGATGTCGCCATCTCTGAGATCCCAAGTTCGATCCCCGGCCTGGACAATGTAAAAAACTAACTGTTTTATATTGTCTCGGATCTGAGTCTTTATGGTACCGTCGTAATTTCCGATTTCCTTAACACAGGTGCTTCAGGAACAGAGCAACATATGTGATGTAGTCTAATACTTATGTTGTTTAATACAAATAGGTACTTATAAGTATGCGACGCACTGTCACAATCTTTCTCTTGTTAAACCTAGTTTTGCTATAGCGACTAATGACGCCGTGTGTCAATTTACAATGGAAATGTATCACCTTAATTTGTATTTAAGGGGACATTCTTTCGAGCGCACGTCAAAGAATTGAAGTTGGATTTTATTCTGGACATAAACTAATCAAACATAGTGTCATTCAATAGACATGACTTAAGACTGAACCCCTAGGCTCTTGATTTGTCAACTTCCCGTTAAATTATGTTGATTCAAAATTAGACTAGATCAAAAACTAAAAATGTTATAGTTTTCGACCAAAATGACCTGGTACACCAACTAACTACAACTCGTAGAGATAAGTTTCTAGATCGTATCAATCTAGACTTTGATTAGTTAAAGTTAGGATCAAACTTCGTTTGTAAGGCGCTAGTAGCTTCTTAATAAACCCTGACTGTACTGACAATATTACAAAACTTCTTGCTACTGTAAGTTAGATCATAATATAAATAAGACAAGAATGGTAAATCCATACAAATGTAGCTGCGCGATTTCTATGTTTGCACGGCTGTCGCGTGCCGTGTACGGACGCACACATTCGCATGATCTCGCAATGCACTCGCGTTGCATAACGCTGGTCGTCTCATGCGATTGTATGTATCTGTACACGGCGCATGGCTATATTAATGCGTTGGGCAAGGTAGCTGCCGGTCCTTGTGTATCCCTGACAGTCTATTAATTTTTTGGATATGATTTTGTTGTGAAGGGCACCGGGACGCCACGGGCCAAGGGTATCGACTCCAAAGGCTGTAAATAGGTAGTCGGAGCCGGAGTCCTGGTACATATTACCTTTTATACTTTCCGCCAGCTCAGCCTAGTGTGTGGCACACAAATGGCGTCCCACACCTATGACCATAAACCATACTCCAAGTAATACGTATATTCATAATGTGACGTGTCTTATTATACTATGGTTAGGATGATATCGCTATGAAATTCTCTTTGCAAGGGTGTCAAGAATTACCCACGTAAATTTTGAGTTAAGGCTCCGAAAATAGATACATGGCTACGGCCAGCAATGGGCGCAAAAAATACTAAAACCAGAGTGGATCTTTTGAATCATAGACCCCTCCAAATGCACTATATCTTTAAATGAAGATAAATTTATTTTGCGATTAAGTTTTATATATTGTTTCCATTTAATGTTGTGGAAACATAACAAGCTATTAAAGCACTTGAAGTGGCGATCACGCAATGTAATAAATTGTTAAAACGTGTTTAAAATTACAATTTTATTATTTATTAAAAACACGTAGATAATTATAATTTAAGCAAACTTATTCATTTTTACAACGTTGCGTAATAAGTTTCTTATATTGTATTTTTGATTATTTTTTTATTTTTAATAGTTGAATATTATGTGTGTTGTGCACTATGGTTTACAAATACAACATTTCACATACACATATTAAACATCACATTAATTGAGGCTATCAGCGCAATAGTTATCCATAATTATTTTATGATTGGATGCTATTTTCATGTATAAAAAATACTTAATTATATATTTCAAAAATGTGCCGAAACACCACTTTTGCGCTAATGACCTCAATAATAATAATATCCCATTACATATTTGCGAAATACAAACCTTTTGCAAACAAATTGTAAGGGCAACATTTTGATAGGAAGTT